GATCACGCTGCTATTGATCTTATTGCTAGCACAGAACCTTAGATATGATTCTAACAGAGTGTGCTATATGAAAATGTATGTAATAATTTAACCTATTCACAAGTAGTTCACAAGTAGTTGGGGTTTAACAAGGAAACATGAAGAAGATTGCCGTCATCAACTCTCCACTACATCTGACCTGGGACTGGCTGTGATCACTGAAGATAACTGAGTGATTGATGGGAATTAGTGTAAGAAAGAATGGTTATTGTTGTAGCATCCAGAATTGTATCATGTATTCTTTATGGTTAATAAGGCCTTAACTTGAGTCTGGATTGTTCTTAAAGAAAAAGGGGGAATTGTGGATGAATTTCTGCACAGCAATGGACATGGAAAAATACTAGAGTTGTTCGTGCAGGGAACAGAAGAGCTGTACGTGCAAGAAACAGGAGAGAAGGACACTTTAGTAGCAAGTTAAAGGAACTTTGTAACAGCAGAATACAAAGAAGGAACTGAAGCAGGACCCAGTTAGAGATGCTGATGCCACAAAGACCACAAAGAAGAGCATATTCAGCAAGATGCAGGTTCAGCAAAAGAAGTATCCAAGTAGTAACTTACTACAGCGCCTAAAGTATCAAAGTAATAGCTTGTCATAACGCGTGAGCAATTAGTAATTACTAACCAATCAGTTAGCATATTGAAGACGTAATGATCTTTGTAATAAACCTATATATACTGATGTACCTAACAATAAAGTGGAGCATTCACCATAACTCTGAGTATTGTGTGTCTGACTCTCGCTCACCACAACAATCCTTTTCTTCCCATTATGGAATCATTCTCCTGGTGGAAAACAAATAATGAGATAATCCTTTGCAGAATAATGTGCCATTTCTTCTGGATTGCTGTGATTCTTTTAAGATCTGCTGGTTTACCTCACTAAATACAGTATTTGGAAAGGGATTTTTTTTCTCAGTAATTTACTCCCTTGAGAGAAGTTTACAGCAACTAAACTAATTAAGCATGAGTCTAAGTAAACACAAAAATGCTAATATGCTTCCAAGTGTCTGCAGCTAATGAATTA